TGATTGTTTTACTATTGTGATTTTAATCAAGAAACAAATGCATACTTCAGGTACTACTAATATAATGGGTAAAAGAAAACGGTGAATAGGGCAAAATAAATGTAAGAACATAAATGTGATGACAAGGAGTTATTGTTTGACTGTCCATTTCTATTCATCTATCATACGAACACCATGGTATGGATTTAATTTTCAAATATTATCACAACTTTCGATTTCGTGTATAGACGGCCATAGAGAAGTCACGAAGGCTCTAGGAAGCTCAGAATGAGCCGAAAACACTCCGTACAATCGTCTTTTGGAAGAACATTCCACAGCCTCGACGTGTAGCTTCCCGATTGAACAAATGCTTGAAACCACTCCATGCACATTGGATTAATTTAATGATAAATTTACTCTTACTAGATAATATAGATACTTGAGTGTTTTGTGCCATATATGACACTGTTTGGAATATGATTTCTTCCAACCAGTCTTCTGTCTACAGACTTGCGGCTTGGAGGGTTCAAGCGTTTCAGTGCTGAATCTGTACGCGGAATAGCAAGAATACAGATTCTAGATGTACTTCACCAGAATATCGTCTTCAGTTTGCATTCAGCACAACTACACAAGAGTCGCATTTGAAAGGCAAACTTAGTGTGTCAAGCAATCGCGAGATCTGTAGAAGAATTTTCATTCCATCCAAATTCAAACCAGTAAAATGCCATCGCAAATATCCTACATTTACACCACATCACTCGCTTTACTATTCCGCTACTTCTGATAAGATGCAAAACCGAAATAATGGAAATCTGTTCTACACTTTCGATGAGAGACTGGTTTCCGTTGAATCGTTTTACTGAGTTGTGTGTCAAAACATTTCTCAATATTTGTTTAACGTCAATTCATAGTGGAGTCTCACACCAGTGATTATTTATTTCACTATATTATCCAGACTGTTCAAACAATACATTTTTCATAGAGCTCGTTGTCAAAATTCTTTTCGAAATTCTAATCAAGCTGATAGTTTACGTTTGTATTATTTCCCGTTGTTAAATAGTCCAGACAAAATATATCTCGTTCACTGAGCTGTAGAATCCATCACGACTACTTTGAGTGTTGTCAAACTCTACTCTCTGTCCTCATGTTTCTCTCTCTATATTCGTAGATTATTAGAAGTATTGGGAAATGGAATGGCTTCGAGTGGTATCATTTATCTTCCATAACGTCGTTGTACTGCACCTACTGAGCAAATGCTCGTTTCAAGTAACGGCTTTCACTGCTACATTCGGTGTGAAGAAATCCATATTGCGCCAGTTTATTGAACGCATATTTCCAAGCAATTTACGTTGACGTCTTTACCTATGGCATGTGACATTGCTTTCTGCATCGAAATGTGTTCGTTTATCAAACACCATGATTTCAGCACCACCTTTCTAGTAACACGTTCTTCATCTTGATAAACCAACTAGTATGCAGTCCATTGTAGATTTTGCCGATAATTCATGACGCATGTTTACGAGTGCTGGCAATCCGGTCGACATTTTGTGCACACGAGTTGCAAGAATTCATTGTTAGATGTGAATCAGACTCTGAACACTTCGACATATGCTTGACAATACTCAAACGATTACTTCAAAATACACTGTAATTGTCACCTACATAACAACCATCACACGTTTCGCTGTTCAACAAAACCCTTCAACGTCATTATCTTCCCATATGTGACCTGATCAACTGACAGTAAAGCCTATCGATTCTTGAATAATCGTCACTGTGAACTAGTTTCACCTTGCCACATCTGGCCATGATCCTCATATCACAATAACTCTTTTCGTGAGGACACAGAAGAACGAGTTTGCAACACACAACAACCTTAATCTCGATTGACTGGAATAAAAGTTTGTGAAGTACGTTGACCTGATTCATGTGAATCACTTGAACAGAATTACTAATCCTAGGAATCGATTGCATGACATTTACTAATCCGTTTGTTTGGGCAGTTGCGACTGTGTGTCAACCAAGAACAACTGGCTAACTCACAGGTTTGTGAGTATAAATAGCTCAAAGTGGAGTCCTAAAACAAACCACACGAACACGAAATAGTCACTGAAAAATGAGCATCAAGGTTTCACTCCTACTTGCATTGGTCGTCTCGTGTGAGATTGTGTTCGCCCATAAACTCGGTCGTAAGTGTAGTTGTTTGCTCTTAATGTCAATGTTTTCACCGTAATTGTGTTGTGATTGTGGTTGAACTGTTCGTATGTCCATCGAAATTCGAAAAACCTGATGTGCAGTCTTCCAAGGGTTCGTCGACTGATATCGATGGAAGTTCCGAACGAACTCTGATTATGGCAAACAGAACGCCATTCCGTATGTCGAAGCATATGTTTGGTCCGTGAGAGCGCATTTGTTCGTCTATCACTGGAGGTTGTAATTTGCCTTACAAAGGTTTCGGAACGCATATCTGAAAGCAGGCAGAAACCATGATTTGTGAGGGCATCACTCACTAGTGACATCTCTCTTTGCCCGATGCACGTGCCTGTGTCATCTAGTTCGTTTAATCAGAGACTTGATTCCGTGTTTGTAGTGCTCATTGATTGTTTTGTGTTTTGCTATTTTCAAACAGGAGGATGCATGGAGCCACTCGATGTTGGCGAAGGAGACAAGGAAGTGCACGTCTTCTACTACAATGAACAAGAAGGGAAATGTATGCCATTTATCTACAAAGGTAAAAAAGGCAATAGAAACAGGTTCCGGACAATGCAAAAATGTGAAGACAGATGTGTGAAGAGCAGAGGAAAGGGAAAGCCAAAACGCAAACCACATACGCCAACATCACGAGGTATGATGCAAACCGACAAAGGAATATAGACATTTAGACCACATTATCCAATCCACAGACAAATAAACATGCGTTTCCAAATCTCTTGTTATCTTGTTCTAACACGCGTCAACTGAACAGGAAAATAGGCTACAGACATCTGATGAAGAGAGTACGTGGTGGACAAACGCACACACACGCACCGAAAATACGATCTAGGACACAAACGAATAACTGGCAGATTAAAATACACTTGTGGATAGTGACTGAATAATGAATGATCTGTCCAAAATGTAGAACGATTGATTGTAAGCGAAAGATGATATGGAGTGTCTGCTTCAGTCGAAAGCTGCGTTTTTGCACTAGCTGTATTCTCCAACACGGCATGATGATTTGTTGGTTGATTTTGTGTATCCGGCTACACCGGCTAACACGATGATGGTATTTCGTTGTAGGGTGACAGATCAACACCAACTGACGCTGACACTGATACTACCTGCTTAGAACTAGCATTCATATATGAGTAGTTCTTAGATGATGAGATGGATTCAAGGGTCTCGTAAAATAAAGGACAGAAACGAAGTACACAATATCTGAGATTAGGTAAAGTAGTTGACTTAGATGAGTTCTTGTGTGTTGAACTCGAATTCATGAGAGGCACAGAGTATCTTAAGCATTTACAGATCTTCAATATTTGTGAAATCTGAAGTCCGAACACACACACTTTTGACAAACACAAACAGTCCGTGTGATTAGTCCATGCTGATAACTATCGTGTCTTTAGTGCTCATAGATGATCTTGTTTAGTGATATATTTTGGCGTTCTTTTTATTTATGTAGTGGATATTATAATACGATCCACTCTATTTTGGGAAATTTCACCAGCAGCTCATTCAGAGTCACTGAATGTGTGAGGTGTGAACCAAAATAGGAGTTGACGTAGCTTCAAACCACTCACTATATCGTCGAAACTTCACTGTTATTAGAAAATAAGATGCATGACCTACCTACATTTGTTTGCATGTGTTGTGATTTACGAGTTTCTGAACTTCTACAACGACTCTAATCTTATAAAACTGAAGCTGATTCTCTTGTTTAATCTAAAGACAACTGCCAATTTTTATCATCATCAGTCTGTTCACCTTGTAGCGTGTCTGCATGGATCACAAATATTAGTCACATTATTCACCTAATAAAGATGGAAAGGGCTAATAGTAGAATCCGTGACACACGTTCCGTCGTAATTGGGACTCGTCAGCTGTATGTACTTGCATCGCAATGCTGATGTTTAATTTAGGTCTGGAAACCAGAACCGTTCGAATCAAACAACATCACGTTATCCACGTGGCTACTAAGTTCTAATAGTCACTTCTTCGTGCCATCTTTGCTTATAATGCTTGTGTATCAAGGCATTATCGAGGCGATATGCACAGTATGCGCATATGCCAACAAGAGACTGACCAATATCAGTCTTAAACATCAATTGGAAGATTCAAGTAGACAATATCAAATGAGTTTATTAACTGGTTAATTTGAATTATTCATACTTCCAAAACTCCACAATAACATGTAGATTAATCCTTTGCAATTAACAAAAATTTAGAGCATTCAATAACGAATTTTGGATTATAGTTCAAAACGAAGCAGTAAACTAAAAGAACAACATGAGATAATAAAATTACACGTTTCATTTTACATTGATAGATGAATAAATAGATAAATCTATCGGTGAATCTTTGGAAATAGTTAAATGCGCACTGTTGAGGAGTCCTGTACTAAGACAAAACGACCTTTCCGTGTGTTTCCAGGTTTTTCATGGTAATCTTGCTTCAACTATTAAAGTTCACTACAGTATCCACAAGCCCCGTCTCTAGTAATATTTAGAAATAGTTGACTGTCAAAGGAATATTTTTAGTTTCGTATAATCTATTTGTCATTCAATCGCATGTTGTATGAAGTCAAATAGAATTTAAAAAAAAAATCTATGTTTCTATCTGAATATAACTAGTATTCCCTGTTTACTTTTCAACAGATAAACAGGAAGTGTTCAAAGTCTATATACATATATGATCAGAGCTAAACATTATTGATTAGAATTGTAAGTAATAATAGATATATTATAAAACATGACCTTGGAATATAAATGTGCTGGCACACATTCATTTATGTATAAATATCATGTCCATATAATAGTGTTATTATAAAATGTATATTCTAGTTATTATACTATTGTTTCTTAATTTGTATCATGTTAGAACTTGGAATGTATACGGATATATGGAATCACAGATACCAGAACAAATACATATTGCTTTAGGAGGTAAGTACATCATTTTTTTTTGGATTGTAACCTATCTATCAATCAGTACTTATTAATAGTATTCTAAACCTAAATTAGATGTCTCTATGAAGTAGTAGCTTGAGTACTCGATAGGTTTAAATTTCAATACAATTTTAAGGTAAAAATTCAACCAAAGGTATATGCATTCCTAACACTTTTTTATAAGTAACACTATATTAAGTCTATATGATGAATGAGTTAAATAATTCTCAAACTTCATAACACTAACAATAAACATTTTAGAGTAATATGTAATGAAACAAGATACGATCAATTTATCTTTTGAGATGAGGTATATTTGAGGGTCAATCCAAACATAAATACGCAAAGAATGTGTGTACATCTATTTGATTATATTTGCTTGCTTACTTACTTACGATTGTTGCCCGTTGAGCAGTAGCATTGGTCAACTACCAGTATCCTCCATCCAACTCTGTCCTGGACAATCCTTTCCAGTTGCTTCCAATTGCTATTAATCCTTTCCATGTGTGTTTCAAATTCCCGACTCACTGTGTTCCTTGGTCACTTTGTTTTCCGTTTCCCTTCAGGATTCCCATTAAGGGCATATATTGTGATGTAGTTTGATGGTTTCCACAATGTATGTCTTATCCACCATCATCCAGTTTTCGTAACTTTCTCTTCAAATCAAAACTTATTTTTCCGCCCCACAGTAAGCTGTTCCTCATGGTATCCGAGCAGCGGAAATTGATCATCTGGCGTAAACAATTGTTTATAAATGCTAGTCCTTCTTTGGTGTTGATTGTAGTAGTTCTCCAACATTACGGTTCAGATCAGTAGAACTGTCTTGAATTTCGTATTGAAGATTCTGACTTTAATAATGGTTGACAGATAGTTGATTTGAGTTCCACATATATACCAGCAGTAAGAATTCCTCCCTTAATTTGCTAGTCATTGCTTTCACATCTATATCAGATCCGCTGCGTTCATCGGTGATGCTATTCAGTTAAGTGAAAGTTTCTACAATTTTTAGAGCTTCTCTATTACGTTTTATTAGGTCACTCTTCTCCATGTTGAAGTTGACGATCTTGATTTTTCCCTCGTGTATGTTGAGACCGCCTGATGCAGTGGCTGCACATACATTGGCTATCTTGACCTTTATTTGTTGATGTGTATGAGATAGAAAATCTGGGCCATATGCGTAGCCGAAAATGTCTATTTACATCCAAGTTGTCCATCCTATTCCATGCTCCTTTCGAAAAGTGAAGCTTTTAACAATCCATTCGACCATGAGAGGAAATAGAAAGGGTGAATGTAAACAGCCTTGTCTGACACCGGTCTTCACTTGAAATACATCTGTAGGATGTCCTTCATTCATGACTTCTCAGTATAGTCCGTTATCTGATTATACTTAGTTACAATAGAATATACACCTATCGTCAGGTTTGTTACACACCTTCATCAACATTTTTATTATATGTAAAACAAACACATGAAAGTGAATTGTAATTTTCCAGCTGTTTACTAAAATCTTTCATCAAATATATATGACCAATGACTTATACCAGCTTAATCATTTATAGCAATAAAAATATTTTTTTTGGAAAGTATAGGAAGGCACCGTGGTGAAATCAACTATAAACATCAATATACTCAAAAACTGTTTAAAAGATTGTGACTATTTAGACCAGATTATTCGAAATGTATTGCGCTAATATATCACATAGTTCTGATAATCTTCATCTTCTCATTGCATTATCGAAATTTATCAAAGGGACTAATTGTTTTAAAGTTCTACTGTTTTATTTTCGACTATTAATAATCAAAAATTGTCCAAAACGGTCATCTTGACATTTGAAGTACGTCAATACCCGTAATAACTCTGGTTTTTAAATATTTCAGATTGTAAGCAGCTAATGAAGACCTAACGAAATAAAATGAATTCATATTATTCTGCACCAATTTTTGTTGTTACTCTATTAAAGATATAGTTTCAGTAAATTAACAAAGGGTTCACATTCTAGTACTCTACAGTTATATTGATTCCCGAACGTTAATTTAGCATTGGACATTTAGATATAATCAATATTTTTTTAACATGTAAATGGAGTTTGGCATTGTAGTGATCAAAAACACAAATGGCGGCAAACGAACGTATTTGAACACAAAATTACACTATGTCTCAATAAGATCTGACAACCATAAAGTGAATGCTTAATTAGCAAAATATCAATCAGTTGTCTCAATCTTGAGTGTTTCGTTTGTTAATACCAGTCTGTCGTCTCCGATTTCGTTGATCCTGCATTTTCATACCAATTGCTTTCTGATCCCGTTCTTTCCTTCTCGATTTTCTAATGAAATACATTCTATTCCTGACTATCATTATATACTATTTATGTGCATAAGTAGCGCACACCACAGTATAAATAGACTGTAGAAAGTGTTCAGAGTGTGTATATTACACACATATTATTTTGAGTAAATGATGAATAGATTTTGTCCGGTGGAAAAATAATGATATATTTTATTATTATTAACAGTATGGTGTTGTGGAGATTATGTTTTTAACTGAGATTATGGACCTATTGATGTTAGACCACAACTGAAAACCTGGAAGCACTAGACGGCCGTTTCGTCCTATTGTGAGACTTCTCAGCAGTGCGCATCCACAATCCTGCTCGTGGGATTCGAACCCTGCACCTTTGATCTTGCGCGCGCGGGCGCTTATCCTCTAGATCACTGAGCCGACATTCAACGGTGTTAATGTCCAACCTCGACCAACCCACGAAATTGCGCGTTCATCTTCATTGTTATTAATATTATACTAAATGACCAATTTATTTAAAGTTATTGTCAATTTTTGACATTGATAGTTGTCGTTTAGAGTACTTTTCTTCCAATATAAATGTGCATTTAAGTTGAAATTTTAGTACATACAAACGGAGGTTTTAAAATAGTAAACCAGTTTATTCATAACAAAAATCATTCGGAAATGTTGTATAACACCTCTGCATAGCTAGGCACTGAAACATTTTTTTATGATCATGATTCAACTGTTTATTTTGATGAATCATTTCTGTGGACATGTTTAACACCATATAAATAACAGTATTTTTGTATCATAGAGCAACCATCCACCATAAGTATCACTTGGGTTACACAAGAAAATACAGAGAGTTCAACTGTACTCTATGGCACTATGCTGTTAAATATGAAAAGTACTGGCTACGTTAAAGAGTTTATTGATGGAGGACGTGAACAACGCAAAATGTATATACATCAAGTGATCTTATCCGATTTAATTGGTAATACAACTTATTGTAAGTTTGAAAAATCCTTCTGTAAATATAAAGGATTATTTTCTTTACTGATATCCACAGTTCCTTAATATGATAACCTTTCTGAATATATATCTCTTTGTTAGGAATGAATCATACCTAACAGCATTAATTCATAGCTTCCCTGAAAAATGCTAAGTCGTCGGTTTCTCGAGACTACAACAGTGAGTTTAGACAAATCATAAATTAGTCGAATTTAATCTCCTAAAATAAGTAATTCTGTCCTAAGCTCTAGCAGGATTATTGTGATCTCAATCCTGGGTAAAAGAAGAAGGTTAGGCCTGGAGTAAGCGACCCCAAACAGTAATAAAAGCCTTTCTAAATAAACGTTTACTAGTATGAAACCAATGAAAGTTCAAATTGAATGCCACTTTTTATTTAGTATGACTGTGATTTAGAGGTCTCAGATAATAGTTAGCATGAAACTTTGGTTTCTGATTTATTGCTTATCGCCTTGAAACACTTAAAACTAATGTCAAGAGCATACTCTATAGTTTGGCTGACAATGCACGACTACTACACATTTAGGAATGGTTGACGTTTGCTAGTTAATATGCAAAATCTATGAGAATTTATTAGCTGATAGACAACAAATTAGTAACATCCTTGAAAGAGTCGATACTATTCTGAGCGTAAAATTTCCTATCAGCAAAGGAGATTAGTTGTACTAGATGAATTTTATCGTAATTAATAAAGTTTCTGCATAGGCTACCTTTCTACTAGCACACAAGTATAAACAATGAAATAATCGATATTAATTCATTTCAAATGACTTAGTAATTAAATGAGGACTAAAATGATTTGTCAGTTTAAGTAGCAATGTCAGATGTCAAACTCAGATAGTCTTTGGGCTTATCATATATATTTTGCTTTGCAGATTATAAATGTGGTAGTTTAGATGGTTGGTCAGATGTTTTGAAATTTCGTGCTCTCCCATCTCATCCTTATTGGTCACCTAGAATAGCAGTTTATGGAGATATGGGGGCAACTGATGCACTTTCACTACCCGAATTGATTCATCAAGTCAAAGATTTAAATAGTTATGATGTGGTATTACATGTTGGTGATTTTGCCTACAATATGGATTCAGTAAGTAACTAACATTCAACCCATTAATAACATAAACACTGGTTAAAGACTGATCTCGTATTTTAGTGGAGTAATACTGGTAAATAAATATCTCTGGACAGAATATAGCACATATCAAGCTATTTGAGGATTTTTGAAATCATATGCCAACGGTGTTCATGAGATTTCAGAAAAATATCGTTTTCCAGTTTGATATAGCTTTTGGAACTATCCAAGAGTATAATCAGTGATCACTTCTATATTTGTTAGTAAATGTGTGCTCCATTAAGTGCTCTATATTATTGCCCAGTAAAGGTTTATGTACATGAATAATGCTCGTTATATAATTTGTATACTTTCTTGATTCCGTTTCAATGATAGTTTCTAAGTTAAATTCTTTAAAACGCCAGTAAACCCTGAAAATTAATTTTAGTAATTATCTTTAATAAGTGAAATCATGTTTAGAAGTAATGTAGCTGAACAGAAACCTTTTGTATGTTAGTTCATCTAACAACTACACAAGTAGCTTGTTTATTCTGGGAAAGAGATAAGAACAATGGGCTTCACTTTTCTGACAAACTTATAACTTACGCTAGTAAATTTTTATGCTTACTTAGTTACGCCTGTTACTCCTCGTGAAGGAGCATAGGCAGCTCACCAGCATTCGCCATCCAACCCTGTCCTGGACAATCCTTTCCAGCTGCTTCAGGCTGTTATTCATTCTTTCCATATCTGCTTTTACTTCCCGACGTTTTGTGTTCTTTGGCCTTCCTCATTTCCGCCTTCCTTCAGGATTCCAAGTTAGGGCTTGCCTCATGATGCAGTTTGACGATTTGCGTATTGTATGTCTTATCCATTTCCATCGTCTTTTCAGAATTTCCTCTTCAGCTGGAAGCTGATTTATTCTCTGCCACAAAAGGCTGTTGCTGATGATATCCGGCCAATGGATGTTGAGTATCTTGCGTAGACAGCTATTTAAGAATACTTGCACCTTCTCGATGATGGATATTGTAGTTCTCCAAGTTTCAGCTCCGTACAGTAGAACTGCCTTGACATTCGTATTGAAGAAACTCACTTTGATATTGGTTGAAAGTTGTTTTGAGTTCCATATGTTCTTCGATTGTAGGAAAGTTGTCCTTATTTTGCCGATTCTCGCCTTTTCGTCTGCGTCTGAACCTCCTTTTTCATCGATGATGCTTCCCAGGTATGTGAAGGATTCTACATCTTTCACCATCAAGAGTGATTGGATTGCTGTTCTCCGCTTTGAATTTGAGGACCTTGGTTTTCACCTTGTGTATGCTGAGGCCTACGGACGCAGAGATTGCTGCTACACTGGCTGCCTTCATCTGCATTTGTTCATGTGTATGTGGTAGGAGGGCTAAGTCATCTGCGAAGTCCAAATCGTCTAATTGATTTCGAGCTGTCCATTGTATTTCGTGTTTTCTCTCAGATGTCGAAGTCTTCATAATCTAGTCGACCACCAGAAGGAAGAGGAAGGGAGAGAGTAGACAGCCTTGTCTGACTCCAGTCCTTACTTGGAATGTCAGATGTCCTCCATGCACGAATTTGCACTGTAGTTCATCACATGAGTTCCGGATAATATTGACAATCTTCTCAGGAACTCCTTAGTGTCGAAAACGTTTGCATAACATCCTCATGTCTTTACTGTCAAATGCCTTTTCATAGTGGATGAAGTTGATGAACAGTGACGAGTTCCACCCAACTGATTGTTCGACGATGATCCGTAGTGTCGCAATTTGGTCTGTGCACGACCGATCCTTACGAAATCCAGCTTGTTGATCTCGAAGTTGGGCGTCTACTGCATTTTTCATCCGGTTCAGAGAAACTCTGTTAGAGACTTTACCTGGTATTGACAGTAGTGTGATACCTCTGTAGCTTCCACATTTGCTCAGATCTCTTTTCTTTGGAATCTTGATGAGGTGCCCTTCTTTCTCTCAAATCTTTTTAAATAGCAGGTAAAGCATGCTTGTATTTACTTCGATGTCTTATTTCAGTGCTTCAGCAGGTATATTGTTGGGTCCTGCTGCTTTCCCGCTATTGATTTGTCTGATGGCCATTCTGATTTCTTCCGTCGTTGGTGGATTGACATCTATAGGAAGATCTGTGTGTGCTGGTTCGATTTCTGGTGGATTCATTGGAGCCGGCCTATTCATGAGTTTCTCGAAGTATTCTACCCATCTGTTCCGCTGTTGTTGAATTTCAGTGATTGGCCTGCCTTCTTTGTCCTTGACCGGTCTTTCTGGTTTACTGTATTTCCCTGATAGTTTCTTCGTTGTATCGTAAACTGTTTCATATTTCCTTCTCTAGCAGCTTTTTCCGCCGTCGTTGCTAGTTCTTCCACTTACTTCTTCTTGTTGGCTCTAATGCTCTTCTCCACTTGCTTGTTTGCTTCTATGTATTCAGTTTGTGCTTGGACTTTCTCTGCTCGTGTTCGGCTGTTGTTTATTGCTGTTTTCTTGTTTTTCCTTTTGTTGATCTTGTCCAGTGTTTCTATAGAGATTCACTCTTTATGATGGTGCTTCTTTAGACCCAGAACCTGTTGACACGTCGGAGTTGATGCTTCTTTGATGCCTTTCCAGTTATCCGCCATAGTAGTTTCTTCTTCTTTCAGTAGATCCTGTAGGGTTTGGGACCTGTTGTTGAGAGCTATCTTGAATTCATTGAGTTTGTCATTATCTCGAAGGAAGGCTGTATTGAACCTTTTTAGTGCTGTTTGTCCACTTGTTTAGTTATTTTTTAGCTTCAGTTTTAAATTGGCCACAACTAGGTGGTGATCTGAAGCTACGTCAGCGCCTCTCCTAGTTCTCACATCTTCCATTGTCCTTCGGAATTTTTTGTTGATGCAAATATGATCTATTTGGTTCTCTGTAGTGTGGTCCGGTGAGATCCATGTAGCCTTGTGTATACGCTTGTGTGGAAATATTGTGCCTCCTATGACCAGTTTGTTGAATGCACATAGATTTGCAAATCTTTCTCCATTTTCGTTTCTTTCTCCCAGTCCATGTCGTCCCATAATATCTTCATATCCAGTGTTGTCTATTCCGACTTTGGCATTTGTATCTCCCATCAGAATAGTTAAGTCCTTTCTTGGGCATTTCTCAATGACTGACTGCAGCCGCTCGTAGAACGGATCTTTAATGTCGTCGTTGCTATCATTTGTGGGTGCATAACATTGGATAATATTCATTAAGATTCCCTCCTTCTTTGTTTTGAATGATGCTTTGATGATTCTGGATCCGTGAGATTCCCATCCTATAAGTGCATTTCGTGCTACTTCGGACAGCATTAGATCAACTCGCTGTGTATGCGGAGCATTTTCCTCTTCATGACCGGAGTATAGTAGCATCTCTCCCGTATTTAACCTTTGGTGTCCAGCTTGGGTCCAGTGGGTTTCGCTGATTCCCAGTACTGCCAAGTTGTTTCTCCTCATTTCCGTTGTTATTTGACTGGTCTTAGCGGTCTCCCACATTGTTCGGACGTTCCATGTACCTATAAAAATTGTTGCTCTGGTTGTTAAAAGGGGCATCGGCTTCGTGGCTTCAGAAGGAACTCGGCTTTCACCATGAAGGATCATAATTCTTCTAAATGAAGACATTCTCACTCTCAGGGCGGAGTTAAAATGGTTCGAATTATTTTTTCTGGTAAGCGTTTTTTCAGCGAGTTAGTTTTCTACGGGATGGGGATGCTAATCCCATGCCCAACCCTCATTCTTTACCCGGGCTTGGGACCGGCAGTAATTCTAGAAGAGCTACAGGCGGAGTTAAATGTTTATGAACTTATCTATTTACAAAAATGTTTAGTGGCCCCGGGATATCTGACTTCAGTTAGATCAAACGAATGATCGTTATCCAATGATTGCTGTCGAAATATATATGTCACCAATCCTTGTATATAACGAACGACTTGAATCGCGTTAGTAAATAACGGAATTAAATAAATCAAATACGAGAATGAAATTTTGAATACATATATTTTGTAAATTCGTTGATCTGAACAATCGGGGAGACGATGTGAAGGAAGTAAAGAGACGTGAGATAAGCGGAATAACGCGCAGTGGAGAATGCGTGTGAGCCAACTCGATTTAATCAAGCGTTAATCAATATTTATAGTCACAAAAAAATAAGGTACAGACATGTAACGAGTAAGATGAGAAATGAACACACATACCCTCATATAAAATCAGTCAAGATTGATAAGTGATTAATGAACAAGGTCAAAATGTGTTAGCTAGAATAGTCTATGTGGGCTTAACATAGCAACCGACACTACAACAAATACTGAAAAGCATCAGAAGGGGTTTTGTGGAGATTGTACTAATTTAAATAGTTGAGATGTGTCGCTCGATTTCATGGATTAGTTGAATTTAGACACTAAAACCGTTAGATACCGTCTCAGTGGTCTGGAGGTTAAGCTCTCACGCGAGACTGATAGGTCCTGAGTTCGAATCCCGCGAGGCGGGGTTGTGGACGAGCACTACTGAGGAATACAACACTAGAACGTAACAGCCGTCCAGTGCTTCCAGGTTTTTCATGGTGGTCTAGCCTCGATTGACTCATGATCTCAACTACTGCAATTACTGATAACATATTTCTAAGACCCATTCTTCGAATTTTAGTATTTCAATATGAAAAAATAAAAGTAATATTTTTACTCTTGTAAAAGTAACGTTGAAATATATTTCAATAATTTGATACATGTTTTTAATGTTGAAACTAAAATTTTAGGATAATGCGAGAGTTGGTGATCAATTCATGCGTAATATACAACCAATTGCATCAAAAGTTCCTTATATGACATGTGTTGGTAACCATGAAGCTGCTTAGTAAGTGAACAAATTTGTTTAATTTGTTTTCGATTAGTTTCTTAGTTTTCCGCAAAGAAAATTAAACAGTACTGTTGTGATGAAGGAGAACACAGGTGAAGACAAGCAGAGTTACTTGATAAAATAGAAAAACCATACTCCAATACTTCATTTGCAAAATGTTTATCAAGTGTCACAGACTTCATTGTTCCTGCATTTTCATACGAATTGCTTTCTGTTTCAGTTCTTCCCTCCTTGATCTTCCCAACCTTCTGCTACCAGACACTCTATTCCTGACTAGCGTTATATACTACTCATGTGGACATAAGTAGCACACACCACAGTATGACATTTTTTGATCTCATTAATTGTAATTCATTTCAAAATCCATAACATGGTACATTAACATATTAACTTGGTGAAAACATGAATTAAGTGAATGAACAATGTTGAGTTAAACAATTTTCAACTGGTTGACATAGAGATTCTAAATCCGATGTGAAAATAAAATCCACACTGCAATGTCAAAAACGTTCTCTATTAAGTAGGATTAAGCATGAATATGTACGATTTTTACATCGCATACTCGAAATATAAATTTTGGTTTTGTTATCGACTGCTGAAAAACTGATTAAACTAAGTCACCTACATCTGACAGTAGTTTACTTTGTACTGTTTTAACTTTATAGTTTAAATTCATGAGTCAAATGAAGCTAGACCACCATGGAAAACCTGCAAGCACTGCAAGGCCGTTTCGTCGTAGTATGGGACTCCTCAGCAGTGCGCACCAACAATCTTGCTCGCCGAATTCGAACCCAGGACCGTCGGTCTCGCGCTCGAACGCTTAACCTTCAGACCACTGAGCCGGTATCCAATGGTGTTAATGTCCAACTGTTAAAAAATAGACAAACTACTTTCATAGTATCAATGTGTTGTGCATAAAGTCATACGCATCAGTGCCTTGTTATATAATTTAACCAATCTGAATACTCTTCAACCACTGGAGCCTAGGGTAATAACCACCAAGTCAATCTGAATACTAACGACAATGTTTTCTGTTTAAAAAATTACTCACTTACTTACGCCTGCTGCCTCTCGTGGATGAGTATAGACCGTCCACCTGCACTCCCCATGGAACCATGTCTTCAGAAATCCCTTCCGGTTCTTTCCAGTTGCTATTCATTCTTCTCATATCTGCTCCCAATTATCGACGCGATGTGTTCTCTGGTCATCCTGTCATCCGTTTCTCTACAGGATTCCAAGTCAGAGATTGCCTCGTGATGCAATTTGGGGATTTCCACAATGTATATCCTATCCACTTCGAAAGTCATTTCTTAATTCCATCTTCAGTCCAAATTCGGTTTGTTCTCTTTTATAGAAGGCTGTTCCTGATGGTATCCAGCCAACACTAGTTGAGTATTTTGCGAACACAACTGTTTATCAATACTTGTATGTTTTGATAATGGTTGTGATACTGCTCCACGTTTCAGCTTCGTACAGTAGAACTGCCTTGACGTTCGTAATGAAGATTGTGACTTTGATATTGGTTGACAGACAGTTGTTTTGAGCTCCATATGTTCCTAAATTGTAGGAATGCAGCCCTTGTCTCCTAGTCCTGTTAATACAATACTAGGTAAATAAAAGAAAAGTTTTTATACTAAGTGTACGATTACTAGTTTATAGAAATTCAATTGACAATAATTCCTTACATTAAATAAATAGATTATCATGATTTAACAGTTAATTAGTACTTTCTTCTTTAATAAACTCTTTTTTAGCAATTTCTCAAATTACAAAGCAAGATTCACAATGCCTGGAGGTGATGGTGAATCACAATTTTATAGGTAAATCAATATTCCTATCTAATTATACGAAGAAAATTTATCAATATGAATGGACAACTTGCCAATTTATATCACTTTTTTTCAATGTTTCATTAATTTCAAGTTAAAACTGAAATGAAACCTTTGAAACCGATTAGTTATACGTTTATTTTGATGCTCCCAATATGTTGATGCTACAGAAGTAGAGCACATTATTATTATTATTATTATTTGAACACATAAATATTATCACAAAGGGGCACCGAATACATAAGCGCCACATAAATAATGCGATTTGTGTGACAGCTGGGATACTGCCCGAACATCCAGACCGAAGCAGGTGGTTTTCTTAGGTGAACACACCCCGAGCCTTTGACCTAAAGGTCTGATCCATAAGGCAGAGGAGCAACGTAAGGAGATGCAGTTCCATGGCAGCTTTCAGGATACTGGAGCCCATGCACGCCATTGCTTTGGAATCAAGGTACTCCAACCCGATTAAAGCGCTGGACATTCACTTTTTGTACTCTTAGTTTCGTAAACTACACTCCTGGTGCGAGAAGGCATTGAGTAGGACTTACCTGATAGTGGCTATATACGCGTGAGAGCACTTGGAGAGGAAGAGCAGACACTCCACGCCGTCGACCGTATCAGGGCATTTGGGTGCAGTGAGAAGTCGTAAACCTTTCATAAACGCGCCTACATAGGTTATGCGGTTAATGGACATTATGATATGCTGAAACAAGCAAAAACAGATAACTTGTTGAAATATTCAGATATCAGGAACAGGTAACCCAGATATTCAAGCAGGCCACCCGAACTATTATTCAGATGATATTATCATTTTAAAAAACTCATTTAATATTTATCAAAATATAAATAAGCTTTCTATGTGATCATTCATGTATCTTTTAAATGAAATAGACAGAAGCCTTACTAATAAAACCAATATTTGACCCATGTATGAAGATTTAATTTTTACTAGTTTATTGGCAAAACAATTTTTCAGCGCACACAAAGCTTATGATCCTAATATCAAGATGTAAGCATGCAATATCCATGTACCCATAAAAAGTTTTGCTCTGGTTGTTAGAGGGGGCATCGGCCTCGTGGCTTCAGAAGGAACTCGGCTTTCATCATGAAGCGTCATAATTCTTCTAAATGAAGACCTTCTAACTCCAAGGGCAGGGTTTAAACGGTTTGAAGTATTTTTTTCTGGTTAGCGTTTTTTTAAGGAGTTAGTTTTCTACGGGATGGGGTCGCCAACCCCATGCCCAACCCTCCTCCTTTACCGGGGCTTGGGACCGGTAGTAACTCTAGAAGAGCTTCAGGTACACCAAGCTTATGATCCGAATATCAAGATGTGGGCATCCAATGAAATTATCCTGATATGTTGCTTTTGATAGAGTTTTTTCCAAATTTTACTAGACATCGCATTACACTTTGGATGATCCGTATGTGTAAAGGTCAGCTACTTTTTGCAGCGAAGATAAGACGGAAAACGTAATTGAAAATATATCACACAAAATAAAGAATCATGCATAAAAGTTGACTAGGTTATGATGCTTTCATTAGGTTTCTATACTACAAGAAAAAGATAATTGAATTCTTATAAGTTCAACAGATTGAATGACTTCCGAAATGAACTAACAACACATTTTAATTTACTTTCATTTGCCTTCATGATGGATACTGTCATGTGAAACGTATTGTCATACTTTATGCACTTTTTAGTTTTAACATTGGACCTGCTCATATTGTGGCATTTTCTAGTGAATTATATTACTTTTTATTTTATGGATGGAAAACATTAGTGATGCAATATGATTGGTTGATTAAAGATTTACAAGTAAGATTAATCTCCTATAATATGTCATTACGGTATGTGTATTATTTTGTCTACAGTTATGCTTTTAGAAAGCTTACAATATACGCGACCCACAAACTTGTTTGAAAAAGTCAAGATAATTAATCATTCATAAGAAATTCAGTTTAGTATTGATAATGCATTGAATAACCAACCCAACTGACTAGTCCCAAATAGGACTAAATGTACGTCCAGGATTCCACTGCTAGCTTCAGTCCATCCTTTCCTATAATGCTTGTGACTTAAGGCAGTATTGAGGTGATCCGCTCAGGATGCATAAATGCCAATAAGAGACTGATCAATTGCAGTTCTAAACATCAATGGAAAGATTCAAACAAACAATACAAAATGAATTTAATTGTAGTATGTCTATAAAATATGTATTGAATAATACTTAGTAAATGGCTTTAGGCTAAATCATCAAAAGCATTCTAGTCTATTTAGAAGTATAATGTAAATCCTGAATTGCAATAATGTTGGAGTGAAATATAAATGAAAACAGGTTTCGTCACACAGATCTATGACCCTTTAACTCATTAAACTAGAATAGCCAGTAAATATAACTAAAACGAAAATACTAATTTTATCAAAAGTGTAACTTTTTGAGACTGACATTAATGTATTCCAAATTATCATCATATATGAAATAAATTATTTGGTGAGACTATAATTTATGGACGCTAAACTGACTCTGAGAGTGTTTACCTACTTACTAAGATTAAATGATGATTATAAAGCAGTTTGAAGAATAAATATTATGATTCACAATGGATGGTTAGGGTTAAGAAATAAATTTACGGTTTCTCATCACGAAATGACATGAGCTAAAATGCCAAGTCGCTATTTGGCCAAATGAATAAGTGAATTTCGCGCCAAAATCCTAAAACCCTTATGCTAATTCTGATTAGTTCGTCCATATATTGGAGTCTCGCCACAAACTTTAGGATATCACATTTTTGAGAAATGGCACACCTAAAATTGGATTATGATTATTTGAATAGGTATTAATTTTACACCAGAAAACATACATTCTGAATTCTATGCTTAGTAAGTTAATGGTCAGTTGATGGAATCTTGCTTGAACATGTTGATTATATATATATATATGTCATTGAATACTGAGGGAATTAGTTACTAAGATAGTCAATTACACAACTTTAGTCATGCATACTAATAAATAATCATATTTGCGATCGTGTTTATGTTTATGTTTTAATTTGATTCTCTCCATCGAATTCGTAATAAGGTTATAGAACTATGTCGATAAGACAACCCACGTAATATAGATGAATAGAATTTTTATCTATACGTTGATAGCTGTATAGTATTAACTGATGACAAAACATGAGAAGAATAAGTCTAGAAAGATAAAAATCCGCCTTACCAATAAATGAGATAAAATTATTTCGTATAGATGAGTAAACTCCATGCTACTTTAAACACTTGAACAATTCACTGTCTGTAACTGACATAGCATTTTGGTTTACCACCATGTTTGTAAATCGGTAGTTTATCCGTTTGATTCACAATACTGTTAGAAAAGTAAAATGAATATTAAAATTATGATCAAAAAGTTTGTCGTTGAAAGAAATTCACAATAGAGTATCGAACCTTTAAAAATATAACTCTGGTATTTTGACTTGTTAATTAAATAAAAAAATCTCTCAGGTGTGTCTGAATATTTTATTTATTTGGATTTTGAGAAGTGAATAAATTATATTACTCACACTGTTGTCAACATGGACATTGTGAACTGATTGAATTTAGACATTAACACTGTTGGATGCCGGCTCAGTGGTCCAGAAGTTAAGCTTTCGCGTTCGAATCTCGTTAGGCGGGATCGTGAATGCGCACTGTCGAAGAGTCCCATACTAGAACAAAACGACCGTTTAGCATTTCCAGATTTTATGGAGTTTTGTTCTCTGAGCTGGACCAAACCATCTAGTTCAGAGAACAAAACTTCATCAAAATCACCCACCTGAGCTACAAATCTTCTCCATCATCTCAGTGTTTCCAGATTTTTCACGATGGTCTAGATTCAATTGACTCATGAATTCAATTATTAAATAGGTTTTTAGTTTAGAAAGTTTATTTTTATGAATAACTCAATTGATACTAAATAGTAATATGTAAATTAGATATCTATATAATGACAAATAAATCTGTTTAACAGTAGGTCATTAAAGTTAGAAATATTTCAATATAATCGTTATAAGATTCATTTCAAATTACTACAGTTACAAATGTTTCAAGAAAACTTGATTCTCTGCAAGTTAGTTAGTAAATTTGTACGTTTATATGAACTGTTCCCATAATCCTTCTTCTGCATTAACAATCATCATGTATTTACCGGTGACTAATTTTGAGATTTAATTCTAAAAGTTATGATAGAGAGCTATGATCGTTACAATTCAGACACATTAGTTATGAGTTGGTTTTCTACTGCAATTAATAGAAGACCATTGCACAACATCGTGAATTGATTGTAGTTGATTATGTAAAATGTAAGATGCAAGTTTGATGAGCTAGATGAATTTGATCCACAATGGATTTTATATACACAACTAGTCCGATATTAGAATCACATAGCTGCCTATCACTCCCTAGTGTTCAAAGTTTGCCTAAATAAAAAATAGCCTCTGATGTAAACTACAAAAATTTGAAAATTCCAAAATCATGGGCTTAGTTTCATCAGAACCCTGAAGGACAATTTTAAAAAAAAACGAATAAGATGTCAATTCTTTTAGATTCATTGTAAGATTGCTAGATCTACAGGACGGAGTTACCATTCCTTTAACATGTTGATTAAAACATTAATTATATGTTTTGTCTTCCATTTGTGAGAGTTTTCAAGTGAAATGTTTTGTTTATCATATACGTGTTTGATTTTCATAAGTTTATAATTTCACTCTTCATACTTACTTGACAGACAGTTTTGTCGTGCTTATTCCTTTCAAGGAAGCGAATAAACCAGAAAATCGAAAAAATCATCCATGGATTATTGTAATAGGTCATAGACCAATGTATTGTTCAAATAATTTTGATCCAATGCATTGTGATTTTGAAAACAATATTGTACGCACCGGATTCGACATATCACCTGACCATCATAAAACTGTATATCTTATGGGATTGGAAAGCTTATTTTATCAGTATGGTGTGGATTTAATCATTGCTGGTCATGAACACTCATATGAGAGATTTTGGCCAGTTTACAACAGAACCGTAAGTCTATATATATAAGTCAAGCGATTGTAATTAATTGTCACGAAATACTTGATCTATGTTTCGTGTTAGTAACCATTCTTCAGCATAAATTATAAATAACCAACTTCTCATTAACAATGTATTTTATCACTATCAGAAAGGGGTTTCGTGGAGATTGTAGTAATAAAAACTAGACACCATGGAAAACCAAGTAGTCTGCATTTACCAACATGACTCAGACCAGAAGTTAGTGACTCTAAGCACTGATGCCACGTTTTGGTTTGGCCGCCCCTAATTTTCTTCCAACCATCCTGAACACTAGTCAAATATTATTCATAAACATGATGTGATCTACAATTATATTTACTTATTTTCATTAAACTCTTTGATGTGTGTATATAAACTAGTTAATATATTCAATAATCAACTCAATATTATAAAATAAATATCTTAGTTACGTGTAGTTATTTCCTATGGTTATATCTTTAGCATATTACATCCAACGACAATGTTTTTAACATATTGTATACATAATACTTCTTGTATAACTTGTATAAACTGTTCCATTTGCTTGTCTGATAATCTATCATATGGCTCTTGTCTCATAATGGTGGAGAAGATTTGTAGCTCAGGTCGTTCCAACCAATCAACATCGAGGTGCACAGAACAAACTGTGAAACACATGTGGAGAAATTCGAACACTTCACTTCTATCTGAAGTTTGTACTGATGATGTCGTTCAGAAGAATGATGAAAGCTCAACAACCAAACCATCCAGCTCAGAGAACAAAACTCCACCAAAATCTTGTCTCATAACTTTAATTAAATCAAAGTTATGATTAAATTGTCCCCGAATGCCCCGGTAAGACCGAGGGTGGGGAGAGTCAGCTCTCCCTCTCCAAATTCTCTCACATGACAACGCGTATACAGACACTGCCAGTGAAGTCTTACTCAATGCCTACTCGCGTCATTACTGTTGATTTTGAAATTTTTAGGACGAAAAGGGAATGTCCTGCACTTTAATCGGGTTGGTGGACATGGAGGGTTCATCTAGGGGAGTTGGAAAACCCCGATTCCAAACCAATGGTGCACATGGGCTCCAGGATCGTGAGGCAATAAATGACGTATGGACCAATTGTTAGTCACCGGCTACCATGGGACTGCATCTCTTGACGTCGCTCCACTACCATAGGTCGAAGGCTGAGGGTGTGGCCCCCTAAGAAGACCACCTGCTTCGGTGTGGGCACCCGTACAGTATCTCAGACCTCACAAAAATCGGATAATTTATGTGCCGCATATCTTTTTGGTGCACCTTTGTACCAATGTTTATTAGTCCAAATAAATAAAATTGATTAAATCCATAACATTGAATATTTTTTCAGTATTATCACTAATCAAATGTTTATTATTCAGGTTTGTAATTCTACAACAAGTCAAAATCCATACAATAATCCAAACGCTCCAATACATATTGTTAGTGGAGCTGCTGGATCAAATGAAGGTAAAGATACATTTATATATGGTGGAAAACCTTGGTCAGCATTTCGTTCAACTGATTTTGGATTTACTAAAATGACGATACATAACGTTACTCACTTAGAAATTGAACAAATTTCAGTGGAAAATGTAAATGTTATTCTCTTATTTATTTAAATACTGAGATTATTTGTATTTCTTATGTGTATTTCCAAATAACAATGTAGGATGCCTATCGGTTGATATATCAAGTTGAAATTATGAAATAATCATTTTGTCATCAACTTGAAATAACCCTGGTAATATGAAGTGAACTGTAGATAAATCCTCTAATAAATCATGTTGAAAGTTTATTAACTGACTCTAACAAACTTTGACTCAAATGGATAACATACTAGAAAGTTTATTAATATGTTTATTTTATGCAGAGGATGATGCACCAAAAAGAATATTCTTTTAACTGAATTACCAGTGATGTGTTCAATCACAGTAAAGAGTTCAATGGGCAAAATAAGTTCAGGAGTATACTTTATAAACATTACCTGCACTATTTGATTTGATACATAAGTTCAATCTATGCTTCAATGATAAACGAAAAATCTCAAAAAAACACACAACAAACGTTTTATTCCCTGCGATTTTCAGGTACCGGAAAGTTTATCTAATGAGAGTAAAAATTTTATATTCTATAATTATGAACTCCAGTTGTAATATTATCACTGAAGTTTGGAAAAGCAACAGTTTGAATAATATCAATGGTTGAAATCATGAGTCGATTGAAGCTAAACTACCATACTAAACATGGAAGCACTGGACGGCCATTTCGTCCTATTATGGGACTCTTCAGCAATGCGCTTTGAATAATGACTAATCGCTCAAAAATTACTTGTTATTACTTTACAAATAAAACAATATATTTTTACTATCTCAATGAGTAGAAAAACTAGATCTCCTGATGTTTCGTGACTCTGTAAGCCACTTCTTCAGAGAATAAATAATCAAATCGAAATTATTCCGAGTTTAAATAATAAAAAGGAAACAATGCAAGAATATTATATGCGATCAATCAAAAAACAGATCTAAACAATTCAAGATTGACAAGAAATGGCTGCCATTGACTTATGAAACGTCAGAAAATCTAATTTTTCTACTCAATGAGTTGTTACAAAAATATTAGTTTACTTTATAACAAACCATCCAACTACACGCAGTTAGTTACCTTTATGAATTTAAACAAGGCCAGAACAAATATTGATGCAGAATAATATGAATTCATTATATTTCGTAGTTCCTCATCGGCTGCTTACAACCAAATATGTATTAGAATTTTACATTGAAGTAAGAAATAGTATGGAGCAATAGACATAAGTGAACGTAAAGGATTGGAGTGACAAATATTATAAATGATAACTATATGCATTTATCTATACAAGGACAGGTCAAAGGTCATTTGGTGTTAAAATCAAAGAAACATTAAGGATGGTGATGTAATAGTTGAGTGGAGTTCAGAGATAGATTAGATAAACTTTGTGATAATGAAAGGTTTACATAAGATTCATGAAATTAAAAACTGACAAAATGGGTCACATAATAAATGAATAGACTTTGAAGAGTTCACATAATTTAAGAGAATCAAGTGAGTGGAAATGTATGAATGAAGTGGTGGTTTAAGAATTCAGTAATTGAAGAAGAATATAACTCAAAGTAAACATTAACAAAATAAAACTAATGACCAAAAAAATATGGATTACCATTGAAGTAATAAGTTTATTAATGTCTCTTTTCGAACACATAGATCCAGTTTGAGTTTTTTTTATTAAGATCGCTTCGGCAAAACGGGGAGAAGCCGTATTTCTTTGTCTGCAAATAATTTTAAATGCATGAGGAATGTCAATGGTATACGCAGTGTGAAGTAAATGCCAAGCTATTACACTGTTGAGAGCCTTAGTGCCTTTCAGCTTCGATTTCTTTGGAACATGCTCAGAAATGCGAATATGTACTCTTCTCTCGGTTCTTTCAATATATGTGCTCCATATATATATGTAAAATTCTAATGCATATTTGGTTGTAAGTAGCTGATGAGAAACCACGAAATATAATGGATTCATATTATTCTGCATCAATATTTGTTCTGGCTTTATTTAAATCTATCCCATGCTCAATTTATTCGAAATTATCATGCCAAACCTTGGTAATGATACCTACAAACTCATTGTTATCCTTTTTAGTAATATTTATGTATAAATGATTAGTTCTTATTTATTACAATTAAATATCAATCAATTACTGATAATTAACACTTTGAATTCTATTAAGAACTGCTTGAACTTAGAATAAACTTTCAATTAATTAGTTAATTATTTATGTGGAAATGAAAGTTTCAAAATTGTTCCTGTCAAACCATGATCAAAATTAGGCAAACCTGTCTCGACAAAATCAGCTTGATTTATATGATCATTTTATGTGACACATGAGATGCTTGAGTTAATCATTTATCCCTTTTTGTTATAAGAGCTTCCTAACATTCTGGTAACTTGTAATTAATCAATTATGCAAACGATATAAACTTTTACAAAAGGAACGGTTTCTGTTCTACACTTTTACTAATTAAAACTATTCTGAATGTTGATTATTGCAATATTCTGTTTCGTACTTCACGACTTTATGATGTGAGATATATCATACTCAGTTTTCTAACCAGCGATTTATTCATATAAATGATAATCAGCTCGAAGTAGTATGTAAACTGCATAATTGATAGAATAATTGTTAAGCTCGCTACTTGAATAATGTAGAATACGGGTTACGAGTGCTGAACTTCCCCGTCGCAAATCAGAAGACAGAAGAAAAGCTGGAGAAGTGTTTATTTGGTAAGAATCAAATTGTACAGAAAATCACAGGTATTTATAGATATTAGCATTTGTTAAATCAACATTATATATTGGCCAACCCGCTAAAGGACGTCTTATGCTACTGACGAATAGTAGTATGCCACGTTGATGTGCTAGAAAGCTCCATCGTGTTTTGATTGGCTGGAAATATTCGGCTCCTTTAAAGCCTTTCGAGACTCTGTTGTAGTTCTCGGAAGCCAACTTGACTGTAAACACCAAACCTATAGATCAACAACCGTTTAATAAAACTAACTTTCATGAAACAAAACAGTTTCGTTTAACTCTTAAGATTAAATATCATTTGCTTTTGATCAGAACATTTATTGTTTTTACAATGAATGATTCAGCTTAGTTCATAGTTAACGTTTGTTGTGTTTATTTTCAACGTTTTTAAAGGAAAGAAAAGGTCAAGTGATTGATTCCTTTACAATCATCAAGGATAAACATGGAGCAGGTTTATATACTTGTCATAATAAAGATTCATTTGATTACTACAATAATATAGATGTTTAATTGTTGTTGTTATATGATCCTCAACAATCAATATATTATTTTCCTCCTTCAAACCCTGTGATTATTACTTTTGAGCAAAATATACATTTTTTTCAATAAAGGTTTTCTGGAAATTTTAGAAATTTCAATAGTTGAACTCATGAGTCAGTCGAAGCTACATCATCATGGAAAACCTGTAAGCACTGGAAACTCGTTTCGTCCTAGTATGGAACTCCTCAGCAATGCACATTTTTCTATTTGATTATGTTAGTCCTCAATGAAATATGATTACAGGTGATTATTAGTTGTGAAGTACTGACCATTTATATATACCTGCTTCTCATTAGCTGAATATAATCAATAATGTTTTGAAATTGATAGACAATTAAGATTTAACATAATTCACGATGCAAATGAAGATTATGTGCGAATACATTACTGAAATATCAATTAGGATAAAAGCAAAAGATTCTTATGCTAATGATAACTGTGTTCATAAATAAATTATTTAATGCAAATGATTGAAATAAGAGTTTAATTCAGTCAGATTAAAAAGTGAAATTACAATTTTGAGAATATCAGAAAAATAGTTTAGTTTTGTAGTATAATGAAAAACAGATCAAAAGATATAACTTACGCCTGTTACCCCTCATGCAGGAGCATAGACCGTTCACCAGCATTCTCTATCTGACTCTGTCTTGAGCACTCCTTTCCAGTTGTTTCCAGATATTATTCATATTTTTCATGTCTGCTCTCAATTCTCAACGCTATGTGTTCTTTGGCCATCTTCTCATCAGCTTCCCTTCAGGATTCCAAGTTAGCGCTTCTCCCGTGATGCCGTTCAGTGATTTCATCAATGTGTGTCTTATACACTCCCAACATCTTTTCCTAAATTCTTCCTCATTTGGAAGTTGGCTTGTTCTCTTCCACAGTAGGCTGTTTCTGATGTCATCCAGCCAAAGGACATTGAGTGTGTTACGTAGACAACTGTTTATCAATACTTGTATGCTTTGATAATGATTATTGTAGTTCTTCACGTTTTAGCTTCGTACAGTGAGACCTTCTTCCCGTTCGTATTGAAGATTCTGACTTTGACATTGGTTGACAATTGTTTTGAGTCCCATATGTTAATCAGTGGTAGGAATACTGTCCTTGCTTGCCAATCCTCGTCTTTACGTTTGCATCAGATCCTACACGTTCATCGATGATCCTACACAGATATGTGAAACTTTCTACCTTTCTAGTGATGCTTCATCAAGTGTAACCGGGTTTGTATTCTCCGTATTGCATTTTAGGGTCTTGCTTTTCCCCTTCTGTTTGTTGAGGACTACTGATGCAGAAACTGTTGGTACACTAGTTGTCTTCATCTGCATCTAATAATGTGTATGGGATAGAAGTGTCAAGTCATCATCGAAGTTCAAACGGGTTAGTTGCATCCAACCTGACCATTTTATTCTGTGTTTCCCGTTAGATGTGGTCTTCATAATCCTGTTGACCACCAGAAGAAAAAGGAAGGAGAGAGTAAGCTACCTTGATTGGTTCCGGTACTCACTTGAAATGCATCTGTCAGCTGTCTCCTATGCACCACATTACACTGTAACCCATTGTATGAATTTAGATGATATTTTCGATTTTCTCAGGTACTCCGTAGTATCGAAGAAGTTTCCATAATGTCCTCCAATCCACGTTGTTAAATGCTTTCTCATAATTAAGGAAGTTGATATAGAGTGACGAATTCTATTCAACCGATTTTTCAACTATGATCCATGGTGTCGCGATTCGGTGTGTGCACGATCTGTTGATCTGAAAGTTGGGCGTCTACTGAATCTTTCATCCAGTTCAGCAACACTCTGTTGAAAATCTTTCCTAATACTGATAGTAGTGTGATTCCTTTAGCTCAGATCTTCTTTCTATCAAACATATATATGATCCAATTTAATAGAAATTTCCTTTTCCAAAATGTAAATATGAATAGCCATAATTTTTTCCTTGAATACATATTACATATCATGTAGCTTATATGCAGTCATGATAACTTACACTGAGACATAATTTGTTTTCGCAACTACTACAGATTTTTATAGGTACTAAGAATCATTAGATATATGACTGCAAAATGATCTGAAATTGAATACCTTTTTATTCGCTCTCTACTTGTAAACAATTTAAAGTGTTATTATTAGACAAGTCTACTTTTTATGCGTGTTTATCACATTTAATCAATATTTGTCTACTTCAATTTATATTACTTCCTGTTTGCTAAGCATTTTAGATTAGAATAAATCATGTAGTGTAATTGTTTGGTTACATTCATTTCTCCGTCTCGAATATAAATACAATTCAGCATAATATTCAGTTATAAAGTTTTATGTTATACAGAAACTGGTTAACAGTCACTCGGAATTTCGCATCTCTAATTGTCATGTATGTCACGACCTTCTAAGTGCAGATCGAATTCTATAGACCAAATTGCAATATGACCACCAGGACCTGACATACATGTAGTTGATCACCGCTAAGTAATCAATCAGTCCAACCTCAGTCCAACAAGAGGTTAGTTGTGGCCCTGATAGCTCAGTGGTAACGTCTCTGAATGTGAGGCCGAGTGGCAGGGAATTGAATCCGTCAGGCAGCATCAGTCTCCTCAAGATTACAACTACACCATACTGGCGAGTACCAAGTAGTACGAAACCTAGGTCCAGGGTTTCCTGTTGACTATCTCCAACCACCATTTTAAATTAAAATATTATTTATGAGTTACATAAATATGTAATAGTGTTTTGAAATCAATAATATTTTTTGACAGTAGTTTGGTGGTGTGTTTATTACTTTGGGTTTTGCTGGTCCTATAGCTTCTTATTAAAAACAATCAACGTTCTTATTCATCATCTACTTACTTGAATACCGTAATTTGTTTTATTGTCTACGTATTACATACATATAAAAAACCTGTCAATTTTTAAAATCACTCAACTTGGAACTTTTAGCATGGATAAAAACATTGAAAAAATGTCAACAATTGTGGGAAAATGCGTTATGTAAGTGAAAGACACATCTATTCCGTTCGACTCTCTACTGATCAGCTGTTCCTTTCCTTGATTTCCGTCAATGAAGTTGTTAAGGTTTGTTAATAGAATTGACACTACGTATGACAACAGTCTATAACAACGGTTTACTTTTTTTCTAGTCAACTAACTATCTACCAGTTAAGTATTCTAAAGAATACAATCTTTCGTGAAATTTTGTTTTTCTTAGTGCGAAAAGTATCCAGGCTGAAGGAGCTTGAAAATTATCTGGTAAAACAAATTGTAAATAAAATTCTCATAATAAAATCGTGAATGTTTTTTGAAATTTTTCGAGATTGACTTAAAGTAAAACAATTTCTTCTAAGTTAAGCAATTCCTCTGTTTTAGATCGAAATCATGAACTGATTTATGTTAGACCACCATTGAAAACCTGGAAGCACTGGACGGCCGTTTCGTCTGAGTGTGAGACTCCTCAGCAGCGCACATCTGCAGTCCCGCTCATGGTCACGAACTCAGGATCTTCGGTCTCACGCGCGAGCGCTTAGCCACTAGACCACTGAGCTGGCATCTCACGGTGTTATTGTGTAATTTCAACCACTCCATGGAATTGCGCGACCATCTTCCATTCTACTGAAGTAGATATCATTCTCTACCCGACACGGATTAATTCCATTGGTCACGGCTTTTCACAAGAACTTTGCTGAGGAGTCCCATAATAGGACGAGATGGTCGTTCGGTGCTTTCAGGTTTTCAATGGTGGTTTAACATCAATATGTTCATGAACTCAATAAAAAAAACTTAATGATCTCCACAACCCCATACTGACAATTTCTCTGTTGTAGAACGAAAACTATCAGGCTATTGTTATCAATTAATTATATCAAGACTATAAAATCGATCTTGAATTCACCTATTGAGCTTTAGATATGAACAACCTATTTATTTCCTAAGTTTTCATAATAAAATACGTTACCTGGTTATTCATTATGCTATTTGATAATGATGTTTAATGGAAAAACATGTTTCCCTAGGTTTTGGACTATTTATTTTTTAAATCAGTAGTATAAATCGTTTGCAAACAATAATGGACATGATTGGGTTGGAGATATATGTCCCTAAAACAAGTAACATTAGTTCAGTGAAGAATTCTCCTTTTAGTGAATCTACTTACCGAACAGTATAGTCGCAATCATATACTAATTTCCTAAAATGATAATAATGGCAATAATAGTGGTAACAAAATTTTGTTAATTATGGTAACAGTGTAGTAAAATAAATAAAGATACGAAAATACGATTTTAATGAAGGGAACTATTAAGTTAATTGATATCTAATCATGAAGATAAATATAGAATTATAAATGAAAAGAGAAGGCTCAATGTGAAATGATCAAATACTGGATTTGAGATGCACTGTTATTAGGAGGATCATAGAAACGGTGACAAATCATTTGATGATCAAAGATTTATAGAGAAGATTTAAGTGAAGCTGACCAATGAAGAGAAAGAAAATTTCGAAAGATCAGGACAATTTTAGAAGAAGACGTTACACAGGTTTCCCATGTATACATAGTTCTGAATCTTCAAAATGTATGATAAATGCTTCGACAATGCTACGAAATTAAACGTTAGAAATCTTAGATGTTCTTCAAGTTCTGGGATTTTAGTGGATATACATCATTCAGGTTTTTAAGTCAAGTTCTAATAATCATAGTTTAACTTACTAAACGACCATTAAATCATATGTATCCTTCTGCAATGCAATGATAAATAGTAGCAGTTTAAAACCATCAAAAAGTTAAGAACACTTTATTATCAGCAGTTTGCACTATAAAAACGTTTGTTATCGAGGGTAGTTTTTAAATTTAGGGGTAAATTTTGAGATATACAGTGGATTTTGTTAAAATGATCCATGTTCATAATTATAATAAATAGTTATATTCGACGAAAATAAGTGAAACAATCGTAAATCACTGGGACTTCTGGAAAAAATGAATCCCTAATAAGGTACTAATTCCTTATAACTGACATTATATGAATATGTTTTTATTTTAATGATATCAGCAACTGAAATTAGTTATATTCAACGT